AAGTCTGATGAAGGCCATGTGCTGATCAGTAAGACAGAACTCCTGGGATGTACAACCTGACTCGGCCCTTCTCTGCCACGATCAGAGCAGCACCAGCCCAATCACAATTGAGCAGGATTAGTTATAAAAGAGTCAGCCAACAAGGGCTTCTTGGAGAAAGGGGTTTTGAGCAGGTTCAGGAGATTTTGCTAGAAAGGGAAGACCTGGGCATTTTAGGGAGGGGGGATGAAAACAGCAGTAGCGAAGTGCAGGAACCATTGCATTCACTTCAGGAGACAAGCCTGGCGCAGGCAGAAAGGGTGTGTCCAACAGCTTCAGGGGAGGGACTTCTTAAGGAGGCCTTGAACACCAATATGAGGAGGGCAGGCAGATGCTACAGGACAGGACTACAAGGACCCCCTGTGGGCACAGGCAGTTCCCCACACTCTCTTGCCCCCACTCTTGTCCTGGTGTCTGAGATGTCAAGGAGGTGTAGGATCATTTCTTCAGGTTAAGGCCTTGCCTCCTTCAGGTTCTTCTTTCAGAAACAAAATAAACCTACTTCTTCACTCTCATATGCCACCACACATGTCAGCTAGAAATGCCCCCCTCTTACTGATAGATCCTCCCTTCCTCCAATTGATGGATGGACGTAAACTCCACCTGCAGCCAGACATTCCTGAGCACTGAACCACCAATCAGCACCTGCCAAATACCCTAAGCCCCTGATTCCTAAGTCCCTAGGTTCCTAATCATGTGCCTTACATGAAATCACCAATCAGCGTGTGCTGAGCGCCCTAAGCCCCATCCCCTCTTTTTCCTCCCCTTAAAAGGTGCTTGTACCCCGGCTCTTGCTCTCTTCCTCTCTTTCTCCAGAAGGCAGCCGGCAGTGGTACTCTTCTCTTCAATAAAGCCTGTGTCCTGGCATCCGGGTCTCTGGCACCCCTCTCTGTTTCATCTTTCACTTACCTTTCCCGATATCTCCCAGCTTGCCCAGCTCACCCTGCACCCCACACTGCTCTCTCTATGCCAGTATCCCCTGGAGCACTGGCCTAGGGTCTGAGGCACTCATTTGGCCCCTGAACCTGATGTGACATTTCCTGTGTGAATGGCCCAGCCATACGCCTGGCCCGATCAGGTGATCAGTCTACATGGATGGAGGAATGAAAGACAACAGTGGGCATCTCAATCCACAAAGGCCATTTTGAAACTGGTATCCGATATTGCCTCACCTATTTACATTCACTGGTAGTTTTTTAGGTGTGTTTAGATGAGAACAACAGAACTTCTCTCTCTTCCGGAGGCCAGAAGTCCAAGATCCCGTACATCTGTAGTTAGATTTGACCAGGTTCAAAATGAAACTTCTGGCGAGACCACTTGAAATAGGTGGTGCTGCAGAGAGACACAAAGGTCTGGCTGCCTCACCCACTGCTGCGCCCACTCCCAGGGCAGGTGGCACCCATGACACTGGACACCGGGAACCGGAAGCTCTGCCGCCGGTGCCATCCCAAAGCCAAGTCCTCGCTGCCACTATTTCCAAAGGACTGAATCTGCATCACCCACCTGCCTCACACGCTTCTTTCCAAATCCCTTCCCTCCGGTGCCTCTCATTGAGGGAAACCTGGTCTCACACGGGGAGCCTAGATGCAGGGCAGGCTGGGAAAGCTAGTCTTCCTTCTATGAATACCTCGGAGAGAAGGAATTCCAAGCGAAGGACACTCTCCACACATGGGAGAGTTGCTCACAAGAGGACAGACCGTCACATATGTGACACATGCCCACCAGGATTGTCTAAGACAAAGGTAAGACTGAGAGTTAAATGTGAGGAGTTCAACCAGGGCCTCCGATGGGGGACCATGGTGTTGGGGAAAGAACCCTTTGGCCCAGACATCACACGCATGAAGGGCTTGTCAGCTTCGGACATTGTCACCAAATGAAGTGACCAGTGAAGGTCGCAGAGAGACCGTCACGGGGCAGAATGAAGTTCATTCTCCAGCTTCAGACCTGTGCAGTGTGATTGCACTAGACTGCCCCGGGCACACGACACATGCATCCATTTTATAAATCCCATAATTATCTTGGAATTAACACAACATAATTACATTGCAGCGTATGTTTGTGTGCTAAGCTGTTTAATTTGTCACAGGCAACCATTTGAAATAAAGCACACGTTTTATTACTCTCATCTGGCACTTCTTTCTAGGGGACATCTCAGAAAGGGGAAATGGTCCTGAGATGCTCAGAATTCAAAGAGGAGGAGGGGGTTGTGGGCAGTGGAGGCGGGAAGAGCACCTCAAGGCCATCTTTGGAGGGGAAATGGAGATGGCATCCTTGGTAAGTGCCCTTCCTAGAGCAAATGAATTCCTTTATCCAAAGGGCTTTACAAAGTCATCTCTGTCCTTGTCTCAAAGCTCCCAGAAAAGGAAGCCCTTCCCGTGACCTGGGGGATGGGAGGTGGGATGGGGCTGCACAGACCCTGCCCTGCATCCACAGCTCCCAGTGGGCTGTGGGGCTGGGGCTGAGCTGGTGAAGCCCCTGGGAATTCAGGGCTGGAAAGACCGGGGTCTGCAGGTGGGGATGTGAGGAGAAGCTCCTGTCAGTGTGGGTGTGGATAGAAAACTGAGAATTAAGCAGACTGTAATTGCGGCCTGGAGCTGTTTAATTTGCACCTGAAAGGAGCAGCCAGGAGGTCTAATTAACAGAGACAGAGGTTAGACATGAGGGCTTCCAGAGAGGCCTTGTCAGGGCTTCCTAGTCGGAGGGTTTTGGAGGTGGCCCAGAGAATGGCGTGGATGGGGGCTTGGGGATTTAGGGTCCGAAGTCCATCCTCCTACCAGCCCTGAAATGGAGGGTCATTGTGTTGGGCCCCAGACTCCAGGGTCCCCATCAGTACCCTGTGCGTGTGAGTTGGTGGCCAGGGCTGCAGAGACCCTACACTGGGTGGCCAGAGAGGCCCTGCTCTAGCCCCTCCCTCTGCCACGGAGGCCAAGGGCACTTACCAATGATGCTTGGGGATCTCCTGCCCTGGCCAAGTCAGCCCTCCTCACTTCTGTTAGAGGCTTCCTGCTGTCCTTGAGCTTCAACCCCTCCTCCGCTTCTGTCACCCACACCATGAGGTCAGGGTGATCCCACCCCTGAGGTGCCTCTCACATCTGTGTTGTTTTTATTTTTGTTTGTTTTTAAGCTCACATGTCAATTGGCTTGTTATATGCCTGTCATCGTTCAAATCTCTTTGCAAATAAAATGTACCAAATATCTATTCTAAATTGCTTACATGCATTAGATTTGTTTAATCCTCACAGACTCTGAATTGCTAGCCCCGATTTACGGATGAGTCAACTGAGGCACAGAGGAGGGGACATACGACTTGCCTTAACCTCTCAGGAAGTAGCAGAGTTGGAATGCGAACCAAGACCACGTAGCTCCAGAGCTTGGATGCTCAGCCACCCACCTCTGCTCAGGGGGCTGGCCACCGCCCGAGGCTCTTGGCACTTCCTGCCTGAGTGGCTGCACATGGCGTCCTAGGTTTTGAGAATTGGAAGTTATGTGATGTAAACATATTAATAAGTCTTTGTTTGGAGTACATTTTGAAATACTGTAACTCTTCAGTTAAAAAAAAAAAAAGTCAACAAACCTTTCCATGTTGGCAGGCCCAGAGAACTGCAGGTACAGGGAGCTGTTCCGCAGCCTGGGACCCCGGGGCCGGCGGGTCAGGCTGTGGGCACCATGGGATGCTGCCATGCGTTGGACAGTCAGCGAGTCCATGACCAGTGCCCGGTTCTGTTGTCAGGCACTGATGTTATAATTGAAGATCTTTTCTATCCCCTGTGACAATGGCATCCTGGTGACAGCTAAATGGTGGAGCCCGTAGTCATGCTCCAGAAGTGGAGCTGACATCAATAGCTTGCGACCGGAGGTGAGAGGTGCTGAAATGCCACAAAGAAGGCAGAGCGGGCTGGTGCATGCTGCTGCCGTGTTCGGGAGCAAGCCCCCTGCAAAACACTGGAGCCGCTGCGGAGCAGTCGGAAAGCCGCTGTCAGCCAGAGGTCTGCCTCCATGGCTATGGAGTTAGGCACAAAGACAAACATCCCTCCCACTCTACATGTCCTGCCTTGGGAAGATTAGCCTCATAGGAAGCGAACTTTGAATTAAATGGGCTAAGCTCCAACCGGTCTTCTTTGCTATTTTTCCTTCTTACACTGAGCAAACAGCAGCCAGATTAGTTTTGCTAAAAGGCTGATCTCCTGCTCAGAAACCTCCTGTGGCTCCCACTGCCCACTGCAACAGGTCCCGCTATTCAAGCCATTCGATCAGAGTGGGTCGGAGTCTCCCATTGGGGCCAGAGGCCCCCGCGGGTGCAGCGAAGTCTCCAACAGGGCGTGCACACGCACACTAACAGGGCCACACCACTGAGCGCTGACTGCTGAGGGAGGCACTGGGGTGGTATGATAGGGGGGTCTCAATACCTGGGATGGGGTGGAAACTCCTGAATGCCCAACAGGTGAGGCACTAGCTCAGTGCTGGCACCTAATAGGTCTTCATTAACCATTGCAGGATGAATGAATGAATGAATGAGCGTGGGTTCATGACACCTTAGAAATCCAATCAAATAGGTAATTGCCTCTGGTTAAGGCTCACCTCATTTTAGCTGTTTTCCAATGGCAACCCAGTTCCATTTCATCCACAAGTAATTATAGAGCATCGCCTGTGTGCACACAGGGTTCGAGATCTCTGCTGGTGGAGTCCCCTTTACTAGGTCTGAGTCCCCATGGTGGCGAGCGCCTTCTCTGGCTTTTGTGGCATCCATTGCACTGTGGCCCTGAGAGGACACGGCGTGTGGGAGGCACACAAGGTCAGCCCACCCACCCCAGCCCCCAGCCAGCGCCCTGAGGAAAGTTCACACAGGCGCACCGTCATGACTAAACCTTCAGGCCTGTGGTGGCACCAGAGGAAGCCGACTTCCGAAGCCCCAGAGAAACAGTGAGCACAGTGAGGCTGCGAAGCTTCTCCAGAGAGACGTCTTGAACAGAGAGCACTTTTATTGGGATGGCTGTGTTCTAAGAAAAGGGAAAGGGACAAGGCCAAGAGACGGGCTGCTAACCGATACCTGGAGGTGGCTGGGCGTTTCTGCCCCATGCTGTGCAGAGCGGGGGGGGGGTGGGGGGACCCTGGCCCGCGTGCCCATGCCACTCTCTCCCCGAGGCCGAGGTCGCCCGCTTCAGTGCACCTTCTTGAACACTTGCTTGCAGACCACACCCTCCGCTCTCATCTCCTGAAACAAACACAGATGCTTGTCATTGGCCAGACGAAGGCCACATGAGGGGTCAGTACAGCAACTTAGAAAATACCCAGTGGCTGCTATTGTTCCCAAGAGTTGGTGTGAACTAACCAATTCCTTGGAGAGTTGGTTGAACTGGAACAGTGTACATGAGGCTGCAGCTTGTGAACAGAGCTGGCTGGGAAACTCATGTAGCTCCAAGCTGACTAACAAGACCAACTCTGTGATGCTCCCACTGCCTCCCTAACGGGCCAAAAGACTCCGTGAGCCTCAGGCCTAAACCCAGGACGGGGTCTGTGCCCAGCCTTGGGAGAAATCAGGTCCAGACACAAGACTCGACCCCTCAAAGGGCTCAATATGTTGCCACAGAATAGGATGGCAAACTAGCAGGCTGTTTCCAAGCTTTGCTTGCATGCTGGAGTTGACTGGGGAGTCTGAAAAATGCCTGGGCCAAGGCCAGACCAGTTCTATCAGCATCTCAGTGGGTAGGGTACTGAAGTTGCTATTATTAAGGAAGCCATGCCCTGCCTACAGGGCAGCCCTGCCGATGGCTGTCAGGGGGAATGGCAGCACAGGGTTGTCACCCCCCTCAAGGATTGTTTGTTTGTTTGTTTGTTTGTTTTGAAGGCTAGAGGCCTGTGGCCTCAGTTTGCACCCTCTGTCACGGAGCCACAGAACCACTGGGCTGAGAGGCCCATGGAGATCACACAGCGGCCCTCACTTCTGCAGCTGAGGAAGAAAGGCCAGGGAGGAGATGCTCAAGGTCGGGCACGGCAGCCTGGCTCTCCTATGGTCCTAAGCCGCCTCTGGAAATAACGCCCTCGCTGCTCTAGCAGACCCTGATCATTGCAAGAACCCCTATGTGGTAGGATGCACTTTGCAGATGAGCTGGAGGAAGGAAGGTACCTACTCAAAGGCACCCAGTGTCAGGACTAGAACCAGGTCACCTGGACCAGCTTCCTTTCGTGGAAGGAAGGTGGATGGGGAAGTCCAGGGCACAGAAGTGATGAGAGGTCTCCTCTCCGGGAAACGTCTGGCTCTCTGGACGCTAAGGTCCCTTCTCTGGATTTGTGGGTGCGTTTTTCCAGGCAATGCATGGAGCAGAGGTCCCAGGCTGGAGGGCAGGGTGAGTGGGGCCCACAGCTGAGCTGAGAAAGGCGTCTCCTTCCCGACCTGGATTGTTGAGATCATGTCTTCGAGAAGCTCAGAGAACATGTCCTCAGTTGGCATGATGAAAACGGACATTACTGGGGAGTACATTTAGTTCTGCCCCTTTCTAGCTGTGGGACTTGGAGGTGAGTCTCTATGCCCTCCTCTTGAAACGAGGAACCACAGCAGGACCTGCCCCACCCTCTCCCCAGGGACCCACCAGGTGCAGCTCGTCACCCTCAATCCACTGGGTCCAGCCGCGTCCTTCCTTCTCACCCTTCTGCACGCACAGGAGCTTGTCCCCGTCCCAGCTCACCGTGGTCTGCCAAGCAAAAACACAGCTTGTGTCAGTCTTGGGCTAGCACACCCCCTGAGGGCTGGAGGAAGGGCAGCCCCAGTTGATCATCCAGTCAATTTCACAGAAAGCTTGCTTCCTAATACTCCCCGTCCATCATGTGCTCTTATTAAAACATACAAATCAGCCCTAGCCGGTTTGGCTCAGTGGATAGAGCACTGGCCCAAGGATTGGAAGGTCTTGGGTTTGATTTCCGGTCAAGAGCCGTTACCTCAGTTGCAGACTTGATCCCTGGCTCCCAGTCTGAGCATGTGTGGGAGGCAACAGATTGATGTGTCTCTCTCACATCGATGTTTCTCTCTGTGTGTCTCTCCCCCTCCCTTCCACTCTCTAAAATTCAATGGGGAAAAAAAAAAAAATCCTTGGGTAAGGATTAACAGCAACAACAAAAAATTAGGATAAAATTAAAATATGCAAATCAGTTTAAAAATTACATAGACCTTAACAAATTTCATTTAAAAGGGTAATTAGGAGAGGAAATGTCATTGAGGCAGGGCTATGAGAGCCAAGGCTGAGAATGGGGCTGCAAGGGAGGAGGGGCTTCCGAGGGCTGAGTGCACACTGGGTATGGGATGGGGTTGAGGGGGAGGGGGACGACAGTGAGGGCTGCTGTCCTGCATCGTGCTGGTGAAAAGCAGACTTCATAGACTTCTCTGCCCATTCCAGAATTCACTGACTCATTCATTCATTCATTCATTCATTCATTTGCAAGGTCTTGGGACAAAAAGACCACACTCCTGCCCTCAAAGAGCTGTTCATCTTACGGAGAACCCAGATATAAATACCAACTGCAGGCACTCCCTGTGCATGTCTAGATCCTCCTGACTGTCCATGTGGATCATGGATTAGCATCTCCATTTCACAGATCCGGCTAAGAGACTTGCCAAGTCCATCTAGATGGGCAGTGGCAGTGGCAGTGCCAGGTCGGAACACAGACCTGCGGGGCCCTGAAGTCCTCCTCCCCACTGAACCTCACAGCTTCCCTAGTGGTCCAGGGTCACCAGTCACAGGCCGAGGTGGTGGGAATCCAGATGAGAGTCAGGGAAGCGAGGCTCTGGGAGGAGGAGGCTCCAGGACTGGGCCACGAGCAACAGAGAAATGGAGCTGAAGCAGAGGAAGGGAGAGTGGGGAGCGGGCAGTTGAGAGACCACCATGAGACAAAGGCCCAGAAAGGAGACAGCACATACGTGCTCAGGAAGCTCCACAGGAGGTTCCCGGGGAGGGTGGGGAGAGAGAAGGAGGTCCCCTGTCCTGTTGATGCTCGATACCCACCCGCACCCACCACTTTGAACTCTCACATATTCCCTGAGCACTGGGGGACGTGCCAGGCACTGGGTGTGTAGAAGCGAAGACAGACTGCAGGAGGCCCAGCCTGTGACGATGGGAGACATCAAGGTCTTACTGGAGCAGCAAAGGGCCCACCCAGAAATACGGGCTCAGTGTGTTGGAATTCAGAGGTGGGACAATCCAGGAGCTGGTGGTCTAGGCTGGGGCCTGTGCACAGGTGCAGTGGGCATCTCCCCTACCTGCAGCCATCCACCTCCCTCTGAACAGCCCTTCCGCTTGGGCCTGCTTCTCCCCTGGAGCAGTTAGAACTCCCTCTGCCCCTGGTTCACTGTGCGTCTCTGAGCAAGTCCCTTCTCTGGGCCCCAGTGCTCCCATCTGTCATGGGAGGGGGTCCGAGGCCCAGCAGTACAGTGGTAGGGTTCTAGGATTCTGGTTCAGCTGAGTCAGGACAGTCAGCAACAGCCTTATAAGGATTCGGGAAAGAGGGAGAAATCTGGGAATGGGGGTGGGGTGAGTGTGGCCACTCCCCATAGGAGAACCACCTTCCCTTGGCTGGTAACCCATCTCTTTCCTGGGCTTGCTGATCAGTACTGCCCTCTGCTGTTGGGATGATGCAACAATGAGATACATGTACAAGGGTGATAGGTGGAGCCAGCTGTTCCCCCACCTTGGTTTGCACAGGAATAAATCCAACGTCTGCCCTTGGAGCACGTCCCCTGGGGATGATGGGGCGCAGGGGGACTTGGGTGGGGCCAGCTCTTCCCCTGCAGAGCTCACTCGGGGCCCATGTCCAGCCCCAAGCCCGAGAGAAGGTCCCACCTCCAATTCGGAACATAATGAAGCTCATGTCTGACGAGGGCTGCCATAAATCATGACCTCAAGTCACAAGACAAGATGCCCATTCACTGGCCGCCCTGTCCATCCCCGGCCTGGGAAGGGAAAAGGGGACTGAGAAATCACAGCTCTGGGCTTCAAGGAGCTCCTAAGAACACCTCAGAGCTTCTCTTCGTGTGCTAATCCAGAGTCTTCTCTGCATACTGAGGGCTCCAGACTCATCAGAGGCCAAGAGAGGCTCACTGGCTCTCAGCTACAATGTACATACTTCTGCCTCTCCCGGAAACAGGAGCATCAATGAGCATATTCATACCCTCTGCACCGGAAGACACAAGAAATGCTCTAAAAAGGACATGGTCATGAAAAGAATGTGGGATCTTGCTTCTTCAGAGATAATTACTCTAACATCTAGACTCCTGTCTAGTGTTATTTTCTATTGGTACAAATATATATATATTTCTGTTTTTTAAAAATTAGGGCTGGCGCTGAAACCGGTTTGGCTCAATGGATAGAGCGTCGGCTTAGGGACTGAAAGGTCCCGGGTTCGTTTCCGGGCAAGGGCATGTACCTTGGTTGAGGGCATATCCCCAGTAGGGAGTGTGCAAGAGGCAGCTGATAGATGACTCTCATCGATGTTTCTAACTCTCTATCCCTCTCTCTTCCTCTCTGTACAAAATCAATAAAGTATATTTAAAAAAAAATAAAAATTAGGGCTGGCATATGAGGCAGAGCTCAGATGTGAATGGGATTTGCTTGTTGAAGTTGGACAATAACCTAAGTCTTTCGTGAAGACCGATGGGCGTGCTATTTATCACGACAAAGTGTTTCAGAAGCTCCTTCCGTTCCTAGAAATGTGGTTCCACCAGGAGGCATTGCCACCTGCTGAGCTGGGGGCCAAGGAGCAAGGCTATGTCACTTGCTGTAAAACTGAATGAGTCTTTGTTTAAGCAGAAGATCTGTTTGGAGACTTCCCACAGATAGCTGTGATGACTCCAAAAGCGTGACTTAGTTCTCCTGCCTCTGCCCCACAGTCGCTTGCGGTGGGAGTTTCCTTTTAAGCTTTGTGTCCTGTGGGAATAAACCATCCATTTCCCAGAGAACCAGATTTATCCTAAGAAGAGAAGAGGGGGGTGGGGAGCCAGGGAGGAGGCTGGTCACCTACAAACAAAGGAAAGAAGGGAAAAGGCAAAGTTGCAAGGGGACTGGGTAACAATGGTCCCTTGTTCCCTTAAGACACAAAACAGAACTTCCGACAACCACCTTCCCGGGCCGAGAAGAGGCCACACTGTGGCCGCCTCTGCAGGAGGCAGGCAGCCACCTCTGCTGGACCCGCAGCAGTGAGGTCTGGGGCAGGGGCTCCGCTGTCCCGGGAACCCCAGATCTCATTCAGTCTAGTTTTCTAGTTTGGACCCTGCAGAGTCCATTCAATCGGGGTCTCATGGGGGAAATTTCAGCCAGAAGTGTGTTCCTGATGTTTCTCAAGTGGCAGATGCTCTGGGGCAAGCATGTCAAACTCACGGCCTCCATAACAAATATTTTTGCGGCCCAGCCAATATAACCGTAGGTAAGAAATGTTTTAATAAAATTTTCGTAACTTAATTTTTACAATATCCTGTTATACATAATTATTAATAACAAACTACAACATTCGCCAATGACTGATGACTATAATCGTGTTGCATTCATTTCCCTTATGCGCCTTATGCACAGGCGCACCATTTCTCTCCACTAATACCAGCAGCGAATATTTTAGCAGCCCATTGCCATGTCATGAGTCTTGGACTGACTTATTTGGTGTGCGCAACAGGAAATACTTTGCTTTGGGAGAACAAGAAAAACAGGTTTGTTTGTGTTATGCTTATGAATTGGTGCAGTTATTCAGTGTCTAGTTTAACTTAATATTAAGAAAAAATTTTTTTAATTAAAATGTTCTCTTATTTTATGTTAATGATGACTCATTTATTTTAGCCCTTTGTATTCAGCATGTCTCTATTGAAATAAATCTACGTTTCTATGAAAATTGAAGCTTTTGTTTTGTTGCGGCCCACATAAGCTTAAACCTTGTTTAAATGGCCCGTGTTAGCCTTTGAGTTTGACACGCTTGCTCTGGAGGCTGGGGTGGACATGGTACAAACCACGGGGAACTCAACCCCGTGAGTCCTGGGACGTCACCTGGGATACGAAGCCCAGACAAATCCCAGGACAAGGGGGGAAGTATGGCCATCCTCGGCTCCCTTTCAACAGCAATTCCCCTAGCACAGACCACCTAAAAGCCTGTCAGTGGGCTGGAGCCCCGAGCAGCTGGTTGTAAAGTAGCGCCAGGCTAACTTTTCTATTAAAAATGAACAACCTCCAACACTTCGGCCTTGTCAGCAGCTTTCCCAAAAAAGACAAGCACCAACAGATGAATGCAGACAGCCTTGTATCACTCTGACAAAGGACTGTCACCTTAAAAGCCAGTGTCTGGCTCCCCTGACCACTTAGAAAGCCCTGCTGGCACAGCTGCACGGGGCCTGGGGACAGAAAACCTGACTCCTGCAGGCGCCTGAGGAAGGATGGCCCCGGGCAGCCTTGAGCCTCCTGGCCCTGTGCGGTGACCTGTTCTAGAAGTGACAGGCCGCTCCCATTAAGTGAATTCATCTTTGGCAGTGACCTGGCATGAGCCACAACAAGTGGGATTCAAGTTGGCTGCCAAGGGTTTGAGACATTCGTTACAGCTCCCCCATGTCCAAACTCCCGCTCCTGTGAGCGGGGCTGGGGGACGATCACCCGCTCATGTCTGCCCAGCTCTTAGGGACCGCCCAGAGGCTGGGAGTGGATCTTGTTTTCTGTGGTTTTAGGGCAGG